GAAATGCCACTACTTTCCAATCATCTTTTTCAGTACACCCACCTCCTTTCACTCCCCCATAAATGATCCCTCCTGTTCCCATAGGCAATTGTCCACCCTTGAGACCTCTTCTATTTCCCCTTCCCTTGGAGATCCATGCATTCCCCCTTGGTCATTGGTTGTCACCTTGCCTCTGTAGGCATGTGGATTGTGGCAGGGTTATCCTTTACTTTATAGCTAATATCCAATTAAAGTGCCTCCAGAGCTCTGGGATTAGAAGCATGCATGACCACACCTTTTGCCTTTGGGTATATCTAAGCTCTGTGTGATCATGACCATGTTGTCACCTTCTGTCTCATTATAAGATTTACTTTGAAGGCACTTTGTCCATTGTGGGATATTTGACAACACTGTGTGAATGGCAACTTCCAATTGCTTTAATGAATATCTGAATGGCCAATAGCTAGGCAGGAGAGAATAGGTGGGACTTCCTGGGAGAAAGAGAGGCTGGACATGAGTCTTGGTGCTTTTTATAAGCCACTGAGTCACAAAGCAAGTCATTATGAAGGAAAAGGGACATATGGTAGAAAGTAGATTTGTAGAAAGAGGGTAATTGAAATTATAAGAGGAAGTTGGGAACAAGTCCAAGGTGAAGCCCAATCTTTCATAATTAGTAAGTCTCCATGTCATTTTATTTGGGGAGGGGACTGGAAATTGAAAAGAAAGTCCAACTACACTTTCATGATTTTTTTCAAGAATACTAAACATACTTTATTAGCACGAAAGAGCAGGCAGAACAAGACACAGCAAGCAGAAATAGACCTTGGCAATCAAAGGGTTAGTGTTGCATACAAATACAGCCTTTTATCCCAGCAGCCCTGGCCACAGAGGGATATAAAATTACCCTTGCAGCAGCTGGTGTGGAACTCAGCAGCGCTCACCAGTGGGCACAGAGCACAGTGACAGACAACAAGATTGGACTTGGCTACTGTAGTGCAAATATCTGAGAATTCAGTCCAACACTGAGAAGCAACACTAGCATCTGACAATTGTTCAAGTTGTACTACATACTATACTATGCCACAAAGGCTTGCCAAGTGATGTTATTTACAGACATCATGGGTGTACAGTACCTTCTATATCTTCAATTTGTGTTTTCTGCAAACAGTTAACTGCACTAAAATGCTATAAATTGTACTTAAGAAATTATGCTACGAGACAAAGAGATAAATACTACCATTCAAATGATTAATTATTGTTTAATAAATATAACTTGACATGAGCAACCAGCAGAGACACTCACATCTGATGTGTCTGGGCATCTTCTAATCTCATTTCTCTCCAGGTTCACAAGCTCAAGAACACAGGAAAAGATCCAACTCTGAGAAAACAATGTGTGGACTGCATGTGTCAACTGAGAAAAAAATCCCACTGGACTCTCTCGAACTGCAGGCCTGTCTGAAGTCACAGTGCTCATCCCAGAAACAAGACTAACCTTTAACACTGACCTTGGAAGAACTATCTTAGAGACCTTGGTTTACTTGACAGTCTCTTTCTCTAAGAACAAAAGGGCACTAACCATAAACCACATGAACACCTCACAATGCCCTATGGACAAAAAAAAATTGCATTTGTTTTTCTCTCAAAGGAAGACAGTCTTTAGTTTACTTATTTGTCTTGGACTTTCAAAGCTTGATTTATAGTTAAGTACAAACACCACTACTTTTGGAAGGTTATAGAAAAATTCTTAGGAAAACTAATTTCAAACACGAGTCACACTGTTGAACTATCCATCTAATATTAATAACTTGTTCTTCAGTAATAAATAGAATTCTACATAGCGAATGCCCCACAGTTGTCTCACTCAGGCATCACAGCCATTTAAGACCCAGCCACTCACTAACAAGCTGTGTTTTCCCGGCTCTGGACACCAGCAAACCATGTGTTGTTTCAAGGCACCTTTGTCTGGGTAATACAAGATCCCACTGGATAGAGGCAAATGAATAATATCACATTGCGGGTGAAAAATCCTAGAGACCAGCTCTGTGCTTCTTATGTCTGTACTGTCTGATACACTTGAGAGAAGACATAGGGGACAGAGATTACTTTTCCTTGACTGGTTCTTGCTCTAACCAGCAAAACCCTAACTTTCTGCTTTCAGCGCTACTCTTTTAAAAAATCTTGTAACATGATGGCAGAGGGAGCCCACCAATCCCATCATACATAGTGCCCCCCCGCAGATCACTGCAGGGCAGATACACTGCAGGTTGAAAAGAAAAGTCCTATTCAGTGATATCATAAGCAATACTTCAAAAAACATGCAAGACCCGGGTCTCTATAATGTTCCAGGAGCTCAGTGACAATGGAGGAGTGAAACTCACAAGGGTTGGGGCATCGAAACTTAAGTTGTGGTTCCACTGTTCGAATTGGGCATGCAGGGATCTGTTGATGCCACTGAAGCTCCCATAGAGGAGGAAGTCCTCCTGAGCAGAGTCCCTGAACAAAAACGTGCCTTCAGGTTTACCTTGTAGAAGAGCATAGAATGAAATTGATCTGCTTATGAACGTTCCAAGCTCCCTGTCTGCTAACATGCAAGGGGAGCTCCCAGGACACCTGGTGCTGCTTCTGTCTCCGTGGCTGCAGGGACAGGGTGGTTGAGACCTCTTCTGAGTTACAATTCATTTTTTTGGTAGGGAAGAACCATCACCACTTATCTCCATCTTCCCAGGTGGCTAACTTTGGTTTCTGTTTATACAATGGATTGGCATGTGCCGTAGCTTCAAATGTGTGTACGTGTGGCATTGGGAGCAGGATCCACCCCTTCTTCAATATTAAGTCATCTTCTCTTTCAGAACCTATCTTCATCTTCTGGAGACACCAGTGAGGGATCAAATGTATCAAAAAATGTTAGATGTGGGCTCACGGGAGCTGCATGCTGCTTAATCCAATGCAACTTTTCTGCTAAATCTGAGGCAGTGGGAAAAGGGCATTTCTCCAGAATTAATTCAGAAAGATGAACTTTTCTTTTGTTGGAAAGAGAGGCTTTGACTGCTTCCTGTAAGTTCTCATGGAGAAACAAATCCACAGTGTCCTGGAGTCTCTGCCTCAAAGAGGGGCTCCTGGCCACAGGACTCCACAGTGCCCATCTCCTCTGAAGGCTGCTTCGCATTCTACCAAACTTTTTTGTTTTATAAAAGAAAAAAATTAACTTTATTGAACTTTTAAAAATTTTATTCTCATACATACTTTCTGACTGCAGTCTTCTTCCCAGTCACGCCCTGTCTCTGAACTTTATTAAACTTTTGTGCTTCTACCAAACTTTTTTTTCAGGATTCCATGAACTTTGGCTCTTTTGTGGAAAAGGAATGTTTTCCATTCCCTCCCCATGGGGTGCGTTGAGAGTAGGAGTCTCTTTGAGCAATCTTCGTTCCTGGGTGGCACTGAGTCATTGTCTTTTCTCAATGCTTATTACAAGAACCTGTGGGATCTCCATGGCACAGTTTTGGTTTTGTCTCGAAAAGGTCTTTGAAGAGCTGTGTCCCAGCTGTAAGGTAATGTTTTCGTGTAAGAGACTACTAAGCTGCTGGGGAGTGGACTCTCCTAGACTGATGCTTTTCTCTTTGTCAGACAGGCACCTGCTGGAATTCATGTCCACACTCCAGGTGTGGCTTCCTTCCTTCTTCAAGGCTGAACAGAGTCTGGCTCCTGTGTTTCAAGTTGTTCCATGTTTTCCCCAGTTTATCAATTGATTTGAAGAGTAAAGCTTACTGTGTGCAAGCTCCCACTATGCATGGTCTGGTGCACAAAGGCTCGATGAAGTGCTTCTTTACCTCTTCCTGGCGGATCTATCCCAGGCAAGGGCCCTGCCGCCTGTACTGAGGTGCAGAGGTGCCCAACCAAGGAGGACTGTGCCAGGGGTTGGACCCAGGCAAGGAATGGCTGCTGCTTGGGTTTTCTGGGTGACTGAGAAAGGCATTCGGTGGCCTCATCCAGGGCACCGGGTGCCAGGCAGGATCGCCAGGGCAGCGCAGCCAGCGACTGGGCAAGTCCTACAGCTTGGTAGTCCCATCCTAGGCTACCAACAAGCTGTGGCAGCCTTGCTTCCTCAGGAGGGAACCTGGAGACTCCAGCTTGGCCAGATGCCCTTGCCAACTGCTACCCATTCCAGGACACCTCCTCCTCCTCCCCAAACCCCTACCAGAATGAAAAATACAAGACGGGCAGGGTCACCCATCAGTGTGGTTGTTGCTGGGCATTGGTGGGGCACGCCTTTAATCCCAGCATTTGGGAGGCAGAGGCAGGAGGATCTCTGTGAGTTTGAGGCCAGCCTGGTCTACAAAGTGAGTTCCAGGGCAGCCTCCACAGCCACAGAGAAACCCTGTCTCAAAAAAAAACGTTGTTGTTGTTAAGGTGTACAATTTAGAACTAGGTAAAGGATTTGCCAAAATGAAAGCATTCTGGGGATGGGACTTTGAATGAACAGCAAGAAAGGAGCTATAAAGATATCCTTGGACAGAAGATGAATTTTTGTGATGCATAGCAAAATTAGCAACAAAACTAAGGCCTTTTTAACATCTTTATGTTATTACATTTTTGTCCTCATTATGACTTTTTTCTGTTTTCAGAGACAGGGTTCATGTAATTGGAGCTGTCATGGAGCTTACCATGTAGATCAGGATGGCCTCACACTTAGAGATCGTACTATCCCTGTCTTCTGAGTGAGGGAGTAAAGGCTTGCACCATCATGCCTGACACTGTCATGAATTTTTGGATGTTGGACAAGATAAATGTTTTTTTTTTTATGACAGCTTTTCCCAGGGCCTAGAGATATACCACTTAGTGTTTAAGATCATTGGCTGCTCTTTAAGAGGACAGGGGGTCCCATTCCCAACACACACCCAGCAGCACACATTTATCTGTAACTCCTGTTTGGCCTCCACCTGCACCACACCTATATGTAGTGGCAGCAAAACAAGCAGGCAAAGAACAAACACAGTAAAAGAAGTAAGATTTCACCACAGTAACATGGAAGAATTTTAATTTGGCATAAACTACGTGATATTTTCTAAGATTTAAACTTCATTAATGGTTCCTACAACTTTCTTATCTTTATCTTTCGATTATATATACTGTTGTTATTTGTAAGCAGAGAATACAAGAAAAATGCTTCACAAAATTTACATTGGGTGTTTATCTCTCTAGTATGAATTTCCTAATGTCTCCTAAGACATGCAATATGGATAGAGGACACATCAGTCTTTGCATTTGGAAATGTTTTTTCCAGTATGAATGTTCTGATGTGTTCCACGATGCTTGCACCTAGTAAAGGGTTTGTCACATTGCTTACAACTGTAAGGTCTCTTTCCAGTATGAACTCTCTGATGTATTATGAGAAGTGACAACTTGCTAAAGGAATTGTCACATTTCATACATCTGAAAGGTTTCTTCTTAATGTGAACACTCTGATGGCTTCTAAATTGTGAGTTCCAGGTAAAGGATTTGTCACATTCCTTACATTTGTAAGGTTTCTCCCCAGTATGAACCCTCTGATGTGTTTTAAGATGTGTGTCTCGGGTAAAGGACTTGCCACATTCCTTACATTTGTAAGGTCTCTCTCCAGTATGAACTCTCTCATGTCTTTTAAGATCTGAGCAACAGATAAAGGATTTGTTACATTCCTGACAAATGTGAGGTCTCCCTTTATTACGAACTCTCTCTTTTCTTCTAAGTTTTGAGTCCTGTGTCAAGGACTTGTCACATTCCATAGATTTGTATGGTTTCCCCCCAGAGTGAACACGCTGATGTCTTCTAAATTGTGCGTTCCAGGTAAAGGTTTTGTCACATTCCTTACATTTGTAAGGTTTCTCCCCAGTATGAACCCTCTGATGTGTTCTAAGATGTGAGTCCCGGGTAAAGGACTTGCCACATTCCTTACATTTGTAAGGTCTCTCTCCAGTATGAACTCTCTCATGTCTTTTAAGATCTGAGCAACTGGTAAAGGATTTGTCACATTCCTGGCAACTATAAGGTCTCTCACTAGTGTGAACTCTCTGATGTGTTCTAAGTTGTGAGTCTTGGGTAGAGGACTTGTCACATTCCACAGATTTGTTAGGTATCTCCTCAGTATGGACACTCCGATGTCTTTTAAGTTGTGAGTTCCATGTAAAGGATTTGCCACATTTAACACATTTATAAGGTTTCTCGCCAGTATGAACCCGCTGATGGGTTCTAAGATGTGTGTCCCGGGTAAAGGTTTTATCACATTCCAAACATTTGTAAGGTCTCTCTCCAGTATGAATTCTCTCATGTCTTGTAAGATCTGTCAAACTGGTAAAAGATGTGTCACATTCCTGACAACTATAAGGTCTCTCTTTAGTATGAACTCTCTGATGGCTTCTAAGTTGTGAGTCATATGTAAAGGATTTGTCACATTCCTTACATTTGTAACGTTTTTTCACAGAATGAGAACTCTGGTGACTTCTAAGTTGGGAGCCATGTGTAAAGGACTTGTTACATTCCTTACATTTGTAAGGTTTTCCCACAGTGTGAGAAATCTGGTGACGTCTAAGTTGGGAGCCATGTGTAAAGGACTTGTTACATTGCTTACATTTGTAAGGTTTTTCCACAGTGTGAGCACTCTGATGACTTTTAAGTTCTGAGACATATGTAAAGGACCTGTCACATTCCAAACATTTGAAACGTTTTTCCACAGTGTGAGCACTCTGATGGCTTCTAAGTTCTGAGTCATGTGTAAAGGACTTGTCACATTCTTTACATTTGTAAGGTTTTTCCACAGTGTGAGAACTCTGATGGCTTCTAAGTTGTGAATCAGTTGTAAAGGACTTGTCACATTCTTTACATTTGTAAGGTTTTTCCACAGTATGAGCACTCTGATGGCTTCCAAGTTCTGAGTCATGTGTAAAGGACTTGTCACATTCTTTACATTTGTAAGGTTTTTCCACAGTATGAGCACTCTGATGGCTTCCAAGTTCTGAGTCATGTGTAAAGGACTTGTCACATTCTTTACATTTGTAAGGTTTTTCCACAGTATGAGCACTCTGATGGCTTCCAAGTTCTGAGTCATGTGTAAAGGACTTGTCACATTCTTTACCTTTGTAAGGTTTTTCTACAGTGTGAACACTTTGATGACTTCTAAGTTGGGAGTCTTGTGTAAAGGTCTGGTCACATTCCTTACATTTGTAAGGTTTTTCCACAGTGTGAGCACTCTGATGTCTGCCAAGTTGGGAGTCTTGTGTAAAGGACTGGTCACATTCCTTACATTTGTAAGGTATTTCCACAGTATGAGCACTCTGATGGCTTCCAAGTTCTGAGTCATGTGTAAAGGACTTGTCACATTCCTTACATTTGTAAAGTTTTTCCACAGCATGAGTATTCTGATGGCTCCTAAGTTGTGAGTCATGTGTAAAGCACATATCACATTCTTTACATTTGTAAGGTTTTTCCACAGTGTGAGCAACCTGATGACTTACAAGGTGTTTGTGGTGCGTAAAGGACTTGTCACATTCCTTACACTTGTAAGGTTTTTCCACAGTGTGAGCACTCTGATGGCTTCTAAGTTGGGAGTCATGTGTAAAGGACATGTCACATTCCTTACATTTGTAAGGTTTTTCCACATTGTGAGTACACTGATTGCTTCTAAGTTGGGAGTCATGTGTAAAGGACTTTTCACATACCTTACATTTGTAAGGTTTTTCCAGATTGTGAGCACTCTGATGCCTTCTAATTTCTGAGTCATGTGTAAAGGACTTGCCACACTGTTTACATTTGTAAGGTTTTTCCAAAGTGTGTGCACTCTGATGGCTTCTAAGTTGGGATTCTTGTGTAAAAGTCTGGTCACATTCCTTACATTTGAAAGGTTTTTCCACAGTGTGAGCACTCTCATGGCTTCTAAGTGTGGAGTCATATGTAAAGGACCTGCACCATTCCAAACATTTGAAAGGTTTTTCCACAGTGTGAGCACTCTGATGGCTTCTAAATTGGGAGTCATTTATAAAGGACTGGTCACATTCTTTACAATTGTAAGGTTTTTCCACAGTGTGAGCAGCCTGATGACTTCTAAGTTGTTTGTCTTGTGTAAAGAACTGGATACATTCCTTACATTTGTAAGGTTTTTCCACAGTGTGAGCAACCTGATGACTTCTAAGTTGGGAGTCATTTGTAAAGGTCTGGTCACATTCCTTACATTTGTAAGGTATTTCCACAGTATGAGCACTCTGATGTCTTCCAAGTTGGGATTCTTGTGTAAAGGACTGGTCACATTCCAAACATTTGAAAGGTTTTTCCACAGTGTGAGCACTCTGATGGCTTCTAAGTTGGGAGTCATTTGTAAAAGACTGGTCACATTCTTTACATTTGTAAGGTTTTTCCACAGTGTGAGCACTCTGATGGCTTCTAAGTTGGGAGTCATGTGTAAAGGACATGTCACATTCCTTACATTTGTAAGGTTTTTCCACAGTGTGAGCAGCCTGATGACTTCTAAGTTGGGAGTCATGTGTAAATGTCTGGTCACATTCAAAACATTTGAAAGGTTTTTCCACAGTGTGAGCACTCTGATGTCTGCTAAGTTGGGAGTCATGTGTAAAGGACATGTCACATTCCTTACATTTGTAAGGTTTTTCCACAGTGTGAGCAGCCTGATGACTTCTAAGTTGGGAGTCATGTGTAAAGGACATGTCACATTCCTTACATTTGTAAGGTTTTCCCGCATTGTGAGCACTCTGATGGCTTCTAAGTTGGGAGTCTTGTGTAAAGGACTGGTCACATTCCTTACATTTGTAAGG